ATTGAATTTGGGACCCGCACACTATCCGAATTTTGAACAAAAAATTTGTAAGAGGATGATAATTTTTCATAGGTCACAAATTCTTCTATCATATGTTTTGTGCATTCTTGTGCTCCTTATTCCCCTTGGTGCTCCTGATGTGTTAACCCAGCCTCTATGTGAATACTTAGGGTATGTGGAGTTGGTTCCAAAATTTGCATTTATGATTTGCATATTATGCCTTACATATGCACTAGATTTTTTCTTTTAGATGTACCCACAAAGTTCTTGATTCTTGGTGGGAGCTGCGAGAGAATTTAGTGGAGTATTAAGTGCATTTTCAGGTTGATTTGTGATAATGGGACAAAAGTGGGTTCATCATATGAAGAAGGTGAGCTTGAGGTTCCAGAATTGTACCCTAAATCTGATATTCTCTTAAACTCTCCCCCTGAATGTTAGAACTCTCCCCCTGAATGTCTCCCCCTGAATGTTAGATTTGGGATAATATGATTGATTTTCAAAGAAGATGACATCCATGGAGTTGAAAAATTTTTATGGTACTTGAGAGTAATTTTTATACCTCTTTTCATTTGACGATTAGCCCTCAAAGAACCATTTGATTGATCTGGGATCAAGTTTGATCTGATGTGGTTGATGTAGATGAACAAAAGTTATGCAAATAAATATTTTAATGGTAGATTAGGGTATAGAACTGAATGTGAGAGTAGGATTTTATGAGTGTTTAAAGGTTTGCTAAAGGTTAACACTTTGTAGGGATCCTATTTATGAGATAAGTGGATATGAAAATTGCATCCCCAAAAGTATTTGAGTGCAGTGTTAGTGAATAAAAGTGAACGAATCACTTTGAGATGTTTGCCCTTCCTCTCAGCCACACCGTTTTGTTGGATTGTCAGCACAAGAACTTATATAAATTATATCATATTTGGATAGATAAGGAACGAGAGTGGAGTTGTAGTAGTTTTTTGCATTATCGGTTTTGAGAATTTCAATTTTGGTCTAAAATTGGGTGAGGATCGTATTATGGAAAATTTCAAATATACTGGCAGTTTCACATTTTTCCTTCAAGAGAAAAGTCCAATTAGTTTAGAATTTCAATTTTGGTCTAAAATTGGGTGAGGATCATATTATGGAAAATTTCAAATATACTAGCAGTTTCACATTTTTCCTTCAAGAGAAAGGTCCAATTAGTTCTGGTGTAATCAACAATAAATGACACAAGAACCACCTAGTCATATTTGTATTTTTTTTATTTTTAAGGGCACCCAAATATCACTATAAACTATGGAAAATGGATGTGCTAGTTTATATTTTAGGCTTGGGTACACTAGTATATTTAGCAAGTTCGGATGTGCTAGTTTATATTTTAGGCTTGGGTACACTTGTTAAGTATATTTAGCAAGTTTGCAAGTTTCGCACACTGGGCTTTTTTATTAAAAAATAAATAGAGATATAATTTTTCAATATAAAGAAACTGCAATGCTCGAGGAGAAAATATCATCACCTAAATTGACTCATGTGAGAAATAGACTTAGATATAAAACTCGACTCAAAGGATTATGAGTGATGAGATGGTCATTTTGAAATGGGAGTCCTAGTGAGCAAATGAGTCAATGATGCATGTCAGCAATGTCAATCACCTTTCTCAAGTTTATCACGTGAAATTCACTAAAATTAATATAAAATTTAGTACCACAATTCATATCACGAGTAAATTTACTGATAGACATTAAATTACAATTAAGTTTACAAATAAAGCACGGATTTAAGAATAAGACCCTTTGTAAAATTCACACTTTCTCTTCCTTCCGCAGATGAAAAAGAGGTCATTTGAACATGGTGCTAGCAAGAATGGAACGATTGGAAAACAATGATATCAAATGTTTTGTAATCAATCAAATGCTCCAAAGTCCACCATCCAAGGCTAATTGAGCTTGTTGAGAGTAATAAGAACAAATGGAAGACTATATTGATGTGCTAAAAGAATGGTAAAAGGCTGAAAATATTGTTACAGAAGACTTTGGAGAGTTTCAAGTTGTTCCTTACCGAATGGACTATGTTCATGAGGCTTATCGTCTTTTGATGTTGCGTTTACCTGATTTTTCCCATCATCTTGAGATGTTCTGTGATTATATAAAGCCGAGTTGTCAAATTTTGATATAGTGGAAATAACAATCATCATGAGTTTCTTTCTGCACTCTTCCCTTTATACTTCAACAATGGCTTCACGAATTGAGGGAAGTGGATTTGATACCATGATGCTTTTGCTAACTTCATCTAGTTCTTTGTTATGTCCTAGAAGGAACGTAAAACTCTTTCTTATGTTCAACAATGATTTCGTAAAGAGCAGTCTTGTGCGCACCTCCATGTGTATGTTTCATACATATCTAGTTGAAGGCAATATTTGGAGAGAGTATTGAAGTATTGAGTAGCATTCAACCGCACCCTTTCGTAGGTCATGTAATCTAGTTTCAATATCAAACAACATAGAGGTGTTATTAACACTCGAAAATGTTTCCCTTGCAACATCCCTAATTTCTTTTGTTGTTTCGTATAGGAGGATGTTTTCTCCAATTTCCGTGATAGAGTTGACAAGCCATAACATCACCATGTCATCTTGAATTTTCCATGTCTGATGTTTAGGATCATTAAATTATGATGCTGTATTTTTCTCGGTGAGATGATCATCTTTTCTTTTACCACACCGATTGGGAATACTTTAGATGATTATTGTCATGCAGCTTATGATTGATCATGCAGGAAGAGAATTTAGACGCTGTAGAGCACGGCATCCTAGGTTCAAATTCAAAGTAACTTTTGAAAAGGAAGAAGTAGCTTTCATGCAATATTTGCTCGTCATAATGAAGAGAGAAATTGTCCAGGATCTGTGCAAACTATCTATTGATGACACAGGATTTCCACTACAGAGAAAAAGTATCTATCGCCGCAAGGGATATGAGAGAAATTGTTTGTCGCCGCCACATGGATTTGTGCCAAAGAGATGGGTTGCCTATCATTAGAGTTGGGATTGCCACACACAACACATTGAGAGAGAAAAATCACAAGTGCCTACTACTTCTATTGACGGGGACAAAACTGCACAGACCTAATGATGATTTTCGGCAAAGAGTGAAAACTGCGTCAATGATTTCAACTAGAAGGAGAAAATCGCATGAGCGCGCAATAAAGATTCCAGCAAGGGTCGCGATTGTGATCCAACGGGGAGAGGGAGCAAGGAGCTGGGGATGGCTTGCAAGTTGGCTGGCGGCTGCAGGATGATCTACTGTTTGGCCCCTAGCTCTGATACCATGTGAATTTTAGGAGGAGAAAAACTCTCTCTTTTCCATATATACACATCTCTCAGACTAACCCTCTTATAATTAGAGGAAAATTCAAATCATCATGACATAATGATAATGATAAGAAAGAAAAGAAATAAAACAAAACAATGGGTAATTAAGGGAATGATTTCTTCCCTCAAATGTAATAATAGCGGACCCACGGTTTCCCAAATCATATGCATATCAACATAGATGTTGTTTGGCATTTTCTCATCATAGAAGATAGTTTTGCATTTACACATGCTTGCATTATACAATAGCCTTACAGCCCATGTTTAGACCTTCACCTGCAAAAAATAAATTCTGAAGGCTTCTACGAACTTTTTGCAATCCCAAATGCAGCTAAAACATACTAGAATTATAATGATTCACATTAGCAGTAGTTTATTCGGCCTCGGGTGCAAATTAGATGTTAACAACAAATAAGAAAACAGTTCAACTGATCCAATAGGTCAAAATGCTACTTTTTCAGGATTATTCTCATCTTCCTTATAAGCACATCAACCGTTCATTGATACAAAACATGCATGAATCCTTCGCAAAACTCTATGCCCAATCTCCACCGAGCCTTAATCTTGGACCAAATTCCATTTCCATCCTATGTGATTAACCATGTCATAATGATTAAGTTTATAGATTCATTTGAATAAGCAGATTCAGTTCTTGTGGAGAGCTGTTCGATTTCCCATTGAACTCCGGACCTATTAGTTGAGTTAGGATCATACTTCGGCAGATCATCTTTAGGAAAGTTGATAATATTGCAATAAATTTGCATACTTACAAAATGAGTTGTGACTGTAATTTTAACACTAAGACTGCATTAAACGGTGCAGGAAACTCCCGGAATCCCCAATTCCATGATATCACAGGAAGCCCAACAATCGGGGGCCTGAATAGAAGCAGCCTTTTTTCCTTATTTTCAGCAGATTTATTTTCTTTCTAATCATTTTTTCTATTTCTTTATTTCTAATTAGATTATTTTCTATTCGGAAACTTTTAATATATTGCATTCTAGCTGATTTAAGATTTAGAATGATTTTATGTATTTTGGAGATTTTGCTCTAATTTATGTTCTCCAGAGAATTTTAGGACCTTCCTTTGCAAGTGGTGTGTCTGTAGCTTGCTCAAGAACAGGTGGTGGATCCCCCTAGCCATTTGTACATCATTTTTTGGCCATCTAACCTCTGTTTTCAGCAATCCCGCCGTCTTTGCTCGCTGCTACTGCTGTTTGACAGCAGAAAACGGCTGTTTGGCAACAGAAAACTGCTATTTTTAGCTTCCGGTTCACCGCCCGGCCATTGTTCACGCTAGAACTCAGCCGCCATCATTCGCCGCGCTTTCCTTACCCCTCCTACAACTTACTTATCCATTTCTTGTATTCTCTCACACCTTCTAGGAGTCTTAGAACGGTGTTTGTGTGCTTGAGTAACTTACACAATTGCAGATGCTCACACCTATGCATCATTTATCCATGCATATGCTTACAAGGTAAATAGCAAATATACCAAAAAAAACTAGGAACAGGTGAGCATCGTAAGCAGAGCACAAGAAAATTTCAAATCATAAAAAAAACAAAATAAAATAATACTTCCTGATAAATATAAGTGCACAGCTAACAGACATAAAACCCAGGTTTCAAGAACTAATCAAAAAGTAAGATACCTGCAATGGAAGCAAAGATATGGTTATTTGAGATGGCCCTTTTTACCCTCTTAGAAGAACATCCTATCCTGAATTGTTAAAAGAAGCTTAGAAAATTGCTGAACAAATAATAAAGTTATCATGACAATGGAATAAAACAAGGGAAAGCAGCCAACGAAGTACTGAAGCTACTTTTCGTGAAAGAATACCATATGGTGATAAATTGTTTATTAATCCAATTAAGCTAAAGATGAAAAGCAATAAGAAAAAAAAAACTTCCAAAATAATATCAATGGCAATACTACCGTGTACTTTCCTGGCAGTTTACATCCTCCAAAAAGACCGCTGCTAAGAGAGAATTGAAATTGGGCAAGCATGTAGGGATGAGGCAACCAGTCAAATTCAAATTAAGACCTTGAATATGTACAAGAAAGTGAATTGACTTGTAAGCCAATAAAAATGGTAATTCGTTCCACAAATGGCAACTCAAAAAGAGAAATGCAACTAATGAACAGGTTCAATTAAAGACACATATTGCAAGCAACATGGGAAAAAATATTTCTATAGCATATGTGATACGAGCAAGGGATATGAGGTAGAATTCCAGCAAAACAGCAATCAAGAATTGCTGAGAAGAATTCTGGAGGCAAAGAATGGAAAAAGGAATTCTATTGATGTAAGAGAAGCCAAAGAATATCTGCGACAAGACACCACCTGGGTTGCCAACTCTAGGATACAGCTACAAAGAAGATGAACGGATAGCCCAACCTTACCAAAAGAAAGAAACTCACGATTCTAAAATCTGTCCCTATACACAAAACAGCCTCTATTTATAAGCACTAAGACCCTCATTATTACAAGATTGCCGTCCAAATAGAAAAACACAAAAAAAAGAACTAAAACTAACAAACTTACCTATAACATAATGTGTGCACTAATACTGACGCTCCCACATCATTTCTCCCTAGATTGGAGAAGATTCGGCTTGGGTCTCCAATTCCGACTCGGAGACATTGAAAAAGATAGTCATTCTAATACCCAGGTAGGTCAAGATCGGTGATCCAAATATATGTCCAAGCTAAGTGATCCAAGTATATGTCCAAGCTACTACATCCACCGGATCAACACTATTCTGGAAATGTGCAAGTTTCTCCATCATTCTAGATTCATCACTACCGCATTTAACTTTCTCTTACTTACCATCTGATGTTAGCGCAGCCTCAAATCCTTGGGCTTCAGCTCCTTGACAAGAACAGTAAAAACCAATAGCTCTGCATTTGTTTCCATACATGATATTATCCTATGATCACCACCAAATCACTCTCTGGAGTCCAAATTTTCCCAAAGCTTACGGTGAAGTGGTTTTTTAACATATCCAATACCTCTCATTGCATCAAAATTACCACCTCCAATCTCTATATGAAGTGATTGGATGTCTATACCAATTCCTTTGTCCTCAACATTCCAATCCCAACTAGAACCGATTTGAATAATTGCAGTTCCACCAGGAGCTGAATTATTTGCATCAACAATGCTAAATTCAGATTTGGCTGAATTTTGTGTAGTTGCAGTTGCAACCATGGCTGTTTGACCAAAAATATCAACCAAGCTGGAGTTAATACGCTTAGAGACCATCTTCTTGCCATCATTATCAAACTGATCATCCAACGATAATTTGGACTGCCTAAAGGTTAAAGAAAGATATAACTCACTAGTAACAGAAGAAATCCTTTTAATTTGAATGTTATCTGCAATAAAATCCGCTAGTGTTGCCAAACATCGTCGCATGAACTTTTCACATTAGGAATTCCAACGCATTTCTTCTTGTCATACAAGGGTTGATTATATATATATCCACGATGATTCCAAAACAAGACCTTAAAATCCATCAGAACTTGAGAATTCTTTATGAAATGGGTTTTCATCTTCTTCCTAAGAATTTTGTTTTTCTTGATCAACCTTATATTCTTCCAATTTTTGTTGTTCAAAAACAGTTGTTCTTTCTTGATGACATCAAATCTCCATTGTAAACCATCCATAACGAATTCTTGATTGGATCATGAAACATTTCTTCATAGTGGCATGTTGTTTCATTAGAAAACCACAAATCGAAACAAGGAAAACAACAAGAACGACCATATTGGAGACAATTTGGACTAGAATTTTTGCCAACTGCAGCAAATAGAAAAGTCCAAACCTCGGGAAATCTAGAATTTGAGAACAGCAATCTGTGAACAAAAATCTGGAATTGCTGGACAACAAACAAAAGAAAGGCTAGGGAACCCAAGAAAGGAAGAAAGAATGTTGTTTTTGAAAATAAGTTGAAGAGGAAAGGAAGGAGAGGATGAAAGAGCAGCCGAGAGGAAGAATTGTAGAAAAACCCAGTGGTGAAAAACAAGAAGACTAAAAACTGCCTCTTTCAGAAATTGGACATCAACAGGGAAGAAACAAGAAATTAGAAGTCATGTTGATTCCAAGAAGCACCAGGAATACCGGTTCAGCGGCCCACCGAGAATGATAGCAAGAATTGAGATCAAAAAGCCAAAACTTCAATACCAAAAATGATATCGGCAAGGAATATGAGCGTAGAATTTCAGCAAAACAGCAATCAAGAATTGCTGAAAAAGAATTGTTGAGGCAAAGAACAGCGAAGGTAATATTAATGATGTAAATGAAGCACAAGAATACAAGTGGTAAGACACCACCTGGGCTGCCAACTCTATGATGTAGATGCAAGGAAGATGAACGGGTAGCCCAACCTTCCCAAAACAGAAAAAAAAAAATCACAATTCTAAAACCAAAATCTGCCCATATATACAAAACAGCTCCGTTTAAAAGAATTAAGACCTCCCTTACCACAAGTTTGCCGTCCAAATAGAAAAACACATAAAAAATGAATTGTAAAATAATATGGAAGTCACTGGTATTGATGCTCCCACGTCAATATCATAAATATTCTAAGTGCTAATAATAAATGTAGTGCATCTGGATCCAAACCACAACTGACCAATTTAATGAAGCTACAGTATTTTCATCTACAATGATGAAGATTAAATACTAAAGTACAGGCCGTAGTGTACATATAATCATAATTAGAACCCTCCCACCTCTAAGGAGTTCAACTTTAAAAATTCTACAACCATGACAATTGTCCTTACTTCTATCCTACTTTTATTGCATATGTTTGACTTGGATTATTACCTTCTTTCCATCACCAATAGTTAGATGCAAACATGAATCCAACACATTGCAGACATTTCCTATCTAGGCATCATAATCAAGTTCTTCAACATAGTTTTGTACATTATTGTTGATATGCCATGCCACCAAAAAATTCGTCTGATCAAACATTGATATTGATGCAATTTATAAATCTTTGGTCGAAAAACTTTGTAATTTGAGTTCAAAAAAATCTAGACTCTAACTTTAACAATCTTATATTCTGAACAAAGTGGTTCAATAACAAAACTTAATAAAACAGAGATTGTTTAATTTTGAGTTCATTAAGACAATATGATATTTAAAAACAACAAATGACCAAAGGTGATCAATTCAAAATGCCCAATTGAGTATGCTTATTTTTTTATAGAAAGGACCAAAATAACTCCACCAGAGATCTATAAATATCATTTATCTTTACACAGCCAAGGAGTTTTGGCGGAGACTCTTCAGAACCTAGGGATTTTTTGGGCTCTGTTGCCAACACTAAACTAGACAAAACCAACATTGTTGCAAACCTCAACATTGGTTGAAAAACAGCAGTGACGTTTGTCATAGCACGACCAAACACTTATTGTTGCCATCGTCAAGTAGTGTCTGTCAAACAATGGTAATGCTTGCTATCATCGTCGCCAAACACCATCCATTGACCGACTTTGGTGCCTGGTGTTGCCAACACCTTATGTCAATTGGCTATGACAAGTGACGCCCCCCAAACACCGACACCTAATGCAAGCCTTATCGATCAATTGTTGGCCCCCGTTATAAGAAGAACAACTGAGTGTACAACATTCCTCATTGATTGCCATCCGCCACTTATCATACAGTGAAATGTAATATCCACCAACTATGACCATCTAATGAATGCCTTATTAGATGCATTGCCTGTGTTTATATCTATTAAAAACACATGAGAAAATGTAATCCAACGGCTCTTATACACATATTCATCGAATATGTCATCACACAAAAATAGTACAAGTGTTATCATCCTCTCACAAAAAAACTCCTCCCTTTAATGAAAGTCATTTTTTATGAAGCCCGCCTTCTTCAATCAAGCTCATCTTTAGAGAGAGAATTTCTAAATTGAAAATAAATTTGATGATATTTTCATCTTGTCATTCACGTAGCTCAAAATCTTGTAACTAAAAACTGTGCACAAACTGTATCATTTAAGTTTATTAAAGTAGGAAAAAATCCAACCATGATCTCCAATAAGACCATGACTTGAAATCATTAACAGATAACACTAAACAAGCCCCTACTACTTATTTATATCATATTTGCCATACAACTCATTTCATAAATTTTCTCCCTTCCATAAAATCTTTTTGTCATACCTATTCTGATAAGGTACGAGCTCAAAATAAAACCCAAATAAATTATAACCAAATTTTTAACTATTTTGAAAATCATCATAAATCATTCTATTGTAGTCTGCTCTTCAAAATTATCATTTTAATATATAGAATTAATGTTAATTCTTTAAGATGAGAAAGTTCTGGAATTAATTTCAGTTTTAATTAAACCTAAAATTTTTATTTAATTTTTTTGTTCATGCGCTATAGCACCATTAGGGGAAAGTAGAAAGGCAAGCATCAATTGTTACGTGGTGATATGCTTTAATAAATTTATATATAATATTATATAATTATATACATGTTAATAAATTTATATATAATATTATATAATTATATATATGTATATACATATAAAGATATATAAAACATGTGTCATTAATTGTCTCATCTCATAAGTCTTCTTCCTGTGAGCTACAGGAAGACCAAAACATAGAGCAGCCTGGGGGAAAGGGAAGAAAAAGATAATAGGAGAAGAAAAGGAAATAAAGAGAAGGGAAGGAGAAAATGGA